AGACAGACAGACAGACAGACAGACAGACAGACAGACAGACAGAGAGAGAGAGAGAAGAGAGAGAGAGAGAGAGAGAGAGAGAGAGAGAGAGAGAGAGAGATAGAAAGAGAGAGAGATAGAGAGAGAGAGAGATAGAAAGAAGAGAGATAGAAGGAGAGAGGATAGAAGGAGAGAAAGAGAGAGAGATAGAAAGAGAGAGAGATAGAAAGAGAGAGAGATAGAAAGAGAGAGAGATAGAAAGAGAGAGAGATAGAAAGAGAGAGAGATAGAAAGAGAGAGAGAGAAGAAAGAAGAAAGATAGAAAGAGAGAGAGAAGAAAGAGAGAGAGATAGAAAGAGAGAGAGATAGAAAGAGAGAGAGCTAGAAGGAGAGAAAGAGAGAGAGATAGAAAGAGAGAAGATAAGAAGAGAGAAGAAAGAGAGAAAGAGAGAAAGAGAGAAAGAGAGAAAGAGAGAAAGAGAGAAAGAGAGAAAGAGAGAAAGAGAGAAAGAGAGAAAGAGAGAAAGAGAGAAAGAGAGAAAGAGAGAAGAAAAGAGAAAGAGAGAAAGAGAGAAAGAAGAAAGAAAGAGAAGAAGAAAGAAAGAAAAGAAAGAAAGAAAGAAAGAAAGAAAGAAAGAAAGAAAGAAAGAAGAAAGAAAGAAAGAAAGAAGAAAGAAAGAAGAAAGAAAGAAAGAAAGAAAGAAAGAAAGAAAGAAAGAAAGAAAGAAAGAAAGAAGAAAGAGAGAAAGAAAGAGAGAAAGAAAGAGAGAAAGAAAGAGAGAAAGAAAGAGAGAAAAGAGAGAAAGAAAGAGAGAAAGAAAGAGAGAAAGAAAGAGAGAAAGAAAGAGAGAAAGAAAAGAGAAAGAGAGAAAGAAAGAAAGAAAGAAGAAAGAAAGAAAGAAAGAAAGAAAGAAAAGAAAAAAGAAAGAAAGAGAAAGAAAGAAAGAAAAGAAAGAAAGAAAGAAAGAAAGAAAGAAAGAAAGAAAGAAGAAAGAAAGAAAGAAAGAAAGAAAGAAAGAAAGAAAGAAAGAAAGAAAGAAAGAAGATAGATAAGATAGATAGATAGATAGATAGATGATAGATAGATAGATAGATAGATAGCGAGTTTCATCGCAAAAACGCGATATCCGCCAAATTTTAAATTTTTGAACTGTTGGTTCCAGATCATCGTCGATCGGCCACTCGGCACTCTGATCATTTCCCCGCAAAACGCGCCACATTCCACGGCGACACAGCCTCCAAAATACGCTTTCTTTCCAAAATGCGATAAACGCCAATAGTTCGAAAATTTCAAATTTGGCGAATATCGCGCTTTGCGATGAAGCTCTTCATATGCATACATGCATACATACATGCACACATACACACACACACACACACATATATATACACATCTATATATATATAATATATATATAATATAATATATATATATAATATATATATATATATATATATATATATTGAATATGAATTCCAACACACACACACACAACATACTCATACACATACTCAACTAGTAAAGGGGCCAATTTTGGAGCTTTCCAAAAATTCTGGTGGCACAAAGTAGTAATTTGTTAGGGCCTGCTATTGGGAATTCCAACACAAATCACGAGTTGCGACTTGGAAGCGCAGTAGGACTATTGCATTCGTTTTAGATGTTGATTTTTTCCAGTAGCGGCCATTATGTTATCTATGATGTTTTCTCAGTATTTACCCTTCGCCTTGGTTCTAGTCCTTGTCCCTTTGTCTCTTCTGTCCTTGACCTTGTACCCCTGCCTCTTTATCCCCTCTGGCCTTCACTCTAACTCCCTTACCTAAACCACTTTTCCCTCATCAACCCTTACCCATCTACAACCTTTCAACATTACTCTAGATAGTTGACGCATAGCAACTATCACCTGACACCCCTTTACTATACACAGCAGAAGCTGTGGGATTCTGTAAGGATGTCTGATATGTTGGGAGGGTCGGTGAAGGGAGGATAGGTGTGGAAAAGCAGAGGTGCGTGCTGCATTAAAGCGTGGACAGGACAACAGAATGTGTGTGGATCGTTGGATAAAATTGCAGTAGAGTGATAGGAAAACCTCATCTGCGTGTTTTCTGTCTGGCCTCTCGTAGAGTAAGGCCAAATTTGTATCCGAGAATTGCTAACTCGACTCAAACTTGTAGCCAGGCAGCTGTACAACACATGAGAGCCACCGTAGTTTACACAGACACGTGATTATACAGGGCAATTTGAACAGTCATGACCAGGACCACCACTGTGGAGCGACAGTGCTTTGCAGTGGCTAAAACGCCGATATGGTTTGTCAAGGAAAGATTCTCTGCCGATATTGACTTCATGGGTAAAGTCATATCTACGGAAAACAATCTTAATAATATTGACATGGGACTTCTCGGAATGGTGTAGCATTGTGCTGATACGTCATCAGTCAGTAAGACAGGCAAAGAACTTTTTCAGCCTGACCAATACTTGTCGTAAACAGGGCAATTAGCTGGGAAGATGAAAATAGTTCTGGTACAAGTATTAAGGAAGGAGTGATGTTGAGCAGGAATAGGTTTACCTGCAAGGTCAACCAGGGCAGATATTGCATCCCAAATTTAGAGCTAACTGTGATAAGGCGTGAGCAACCGGGACGACTGTCAAATTCTTATTTATTCAAGTATTATTGGAATAGTAAGGTATTCACAGTAAGGGCTGTACGGGGAATCACAAAAAATGGATCCCATTTGGCTGGGTTAAGTACTTAAATAGTTTGAATAGGTGGGAATTATAAAGGGGTGAGGACGATGGGAAATGGTTGTGAAGTGGAATGAGGTAGTGGGTGGGGGAGGGCAATAAGGTCCAAGAGTTTTAAACAAGAAAGGATGTAGGAAATGGAAATTAGTGTACAGATGGGGTGGAGGATATTGGGAGTGAGGAAGCGTTATAATCTGGGTAGAAGATTTAGGATTGTTTAGTTGAGAACAAGTGTCGAAACAGGTTGTAGTATCTATGGTCAGAGCCATGGTCAGAGGGTCAGGGGTTGGTAACCAGAGTAGTTACTGCAGATTCAGGGAGGGTGGTTGATTAAGGGGCAAGCCTGAATGACCATAATAATGGTGCAAAATCCAAATTGGTACAAGCCATGGTAAGCCTGGAGTATGTGGGGAAGAAAAAAGCTCCAGGACAAAGGGATTACCATACCCTTCACTGGCACACAATCAAGCCTTTCATTCTTTCAAACAGCTCTCACATGTAGGAATTGGACAGAAAAAGGTTGGGAAGATGAGGAAAAGGAAAGAAAAAGACTGCAAAATTATACGAGTCAAGGACTGAGACCAAGGTAGAGGAATGATTGTTGATAATCAAATTATTTGCCTGAACCAATATCTAGGGTCTTCACGGTGATCAAAGTTGGGAAGATCCCCAGCGTTGAGTCTCAGTCATCCATCCCTAAGCCCCCCTCAAGGGATTGAGGAGGTAAATTGTTTAAATGTCCTAGACATCAAATGTATGAGTAATTCTCCATAAAACTATATGCCTCTCCTGTTACCTCATGTGGTACTTCTTTCCACTATATAAATTCAATGTTCTCCATTTCTGTTTGTACAAAAAAAAGTAATAATAATAAAGAAAAACCCACTGATCAAGATCTACATTATGAGACTGCAAAAAACAATCCTTCTCATGCCCTGGAGGAATACTGGTAATGGTTGCTGTTCTGTGATTATGCCTGAATATAGGACATATAGTAAAGGTGCATTAAAGGGAATATTTACACGTTGGTAGGTTAATGATACTGCTTATACAAAGAACCATTATTATTTTGGAAAAATTTTCAACTTTTAAAAAATAAATTAAAAAAGTGCTTTCCTTTATTACAAGCAAAGTCAAAGTTTAAATAAAACGTCTAGAAAGCTAGTTCTTTGCTGATGTATTCATGGCAGTCCTGTAACTCAAAACTTTTGTACATTATATTTGGGAAAGCCAAAATCCCACTGGTCTTCGTAACAAAATGAATACTAAAGCTATATTAACTGGGATGTGAACACCTATTATGCTCGAGTCCCTTCAGACTGAATGAACTCAAAAAAGTATACCTGATGCTTGAACACAATGCTTGAACATGGTTCCCTTACATTTTAAAAGGGCTAAAAGTATTACTGTACCACATCAAATGTAAGGACAAATACCCCATACTCAATTTCAAGTTAAAGCGAGACAATAATTAATCTCGTAAAATCTGAACCTGATGACAAATGAGCTAACTTACTAATGCCAACTTGTCATGCCATGAATTGAACTAAGTTATAAACATTATTAACAAAGCAATTACAATGCAATCACCTGGTCAAAGCCAGCTGACTTCTCACATGATCCTGAAGATCATTTCCACTATTTAAATATAACTACATCATCTTGGCAGCTCGCATTGAAGCTGATGAGAACAAACTACTTTTGCTCACATACGCTAATTAATCAATAAAATGTCTTGTGCAATCCTGCTGCATTCTTCACTTGTTCTGATAATATACAAGTAGTTAATGAAAAAATATATGTATTTCACGAATGCAACAATCAAAATACACTATCTCACTTTGTGAACCTTTTCACTAAAAATCACGATTATACCCAGAGACAATAAAAAGGAGGGATCTCCTTGCCATTGTAAAGTGCACTTGAATAAGGATGAATCGCTTCCTCTTCTTGTTTTCCTGCATGGGCTCCTCACGGTAATTCAAACCCAGATCTTGTAGTCGTTTCATAAAAAAGCTAGAGAGTTTTGTGCCAGCTTTGTACTCATCCGTGTCTTGCATGTTGTACTGCTGGCAGTTTTGGAAAACAAGCATGACATCTGCTATGAACTCATCATCTGTTCCGTATTTTAGGCTGTTTAGCTTTTCTCGGATCCTACCAAAGTCCATTGGTTTCTTTACAATATCATAGTAGTCTGGAGCCTGCAACAAATTTAAAGCCATTAAACTGTAACATCATTTAAAGAGATATATTTATCTAATGTACTAAATTGAAATGTAACATGGGAGGAGGGTTGGACTGGGAAAAGCTATATCAAGCAAGGACTGTTTTTTTATACTTAAAGCTCTTAAGAATTACCAAATGAAAATATCTGTTATGAAATCAAACTGAGTACTATCAGTCACCAACTATCAAACATTAATCAAAAAAAAATACACAACAAAAAGGTCTTTGTTACAACAAGTAAGTCCTTACCTCCTTCTTTGACACAGCTTTGTGGAATGGCCAGCTCATCTTGTGCTTAAATAGCTCATCAACAAAGTTTCCAGGGCCACTGAATTGAAGTCACTGTTTTCATCAACAAGCGACCTTCTGTTATTTCTCTTGGGTGATGTGTATTCTGAAATCAACATAAAAATATAGAATTTTCTCTAAATACTAAACCCTGATGAAGATATCACAATCAAACTAATGATATGTCTTTATAAAAAGGTTGAGATGGATAAATGAACAACAAATAATTAAATGACTACGTATATGCCTCTCTAAAGGCATATACTATTCCAAGATGAGGACAGATAGTGTCTTGAAACTGAAACAACTTTGTCCTCTTGTCTGTCATTCACCAGGTGCTTAACCTACATGTGTATTACAAGCACAAACAAACAGGTAAATGGCTCAGCAACCTTTTAACCTACCAACTTCAGGTTCCTCCAACTTCGCCTTCTTTGAACTGCGGCTATTTTCTGGTCCCTCACTCCTCCTCTTTTTGTCGGGAGATGGCGAGGACTTGGCATTCTTGGCACTTTTGGCATTCTTGTTATTTCATTGGCATTCTTCTTGTTCTTGTTTTCCTTGTTTTTGGAGTTATCTTTACTATTTTTGGAATTGCTGCTTTTGGCATTCTCTTGCTGTTTTTAGAGTTATCTTTGCTGTTTTGGAATTTTCTTTGCCACTTTGGAATTGTCTTTGCCACTTTTGGAATTGTCTTTGCTGTTTTTAGAATTGTCTTTGCCACTTTTGGAACTGTCTTTGCTGTTTTTATTTTCTTTACTGTTCTTTGAGCTACTTTGCTTGCTTTACTATTTTCCTTTGAATTTTTATTTTCTTTGGTTGTCTTCTTATCTTGGGCAATCCTCTTAGTACCTGTAATGAAAAGAAAAACAAAGAGCATTTGAAATCACTTCATTATCATGTATTCACATTAAAAATATATATATGCTTAAAATAAACCTCATTAATTTAATAATCCTTAGATAACATTATAAGATCTTCAATTACCTTTACAAGCCCCACACGACCAATTTCCTCTTGGCACCGTTCTTAAGTCAGCACACTGTTGTTGATAGGCTAGGGGACATGTGTCACAGCAGATCAATGTTCCAGGTTTCTCGCAAACAAAAACACATCTTCATTCTCGACTTCACTGAAATTCAAAATAAACAAATTCAAACTCAGTACACAAGTAAATTGAATCCATAGACCACAAAGCATGATTGTTTTTTAGACCTCTCCTTGTGTTCTATAGTTTCTTTAATGGTATCATTTGTCACATCTTTAAAAAATTAGGATGAAAAAAAAGTGATTGGAATGTACCTTTCCTCTTCATCACTTGTCTTCTCCTCATCCATCTCATCGTCTGAGATGTCCTTGTATATCTGTCTCTTCTGGGACTCTTTGGCTTCTCCTTTGGCTTACAGTGATCGCAATACCAGTTGCCTGAGGGATGGCCTGTCAAGTATAAATAAAGCATTAGGATTGCATCCAAAGAAAATAAGAAAATAAACGAGTCCAAAATTCATTCAATTCCATTACAAAGCACAATTCTATGCTGTTCAATCAGAACAGACTTGAGTTTAGGTTTCAGACAGTACACATGGTAACCCTTGTCACATTCATCACACAAAAGCATATTTTCTGCATCTGCTTTTCTGCGGCAGATGCGACAGCGAGCATTGAGAGCAGATCTTGACCATGTTATGGAATTGTCAAGAGTACTGAAGTGTAAGAGACATAGCTGGAAAAATAAATAATACATTAGTAGCCAAATATGTCAGCTGTTTAAAAATCTTAAATTCCTTTGAATCAAGCGCCTGAATAAAAAAAAGAAAAAAATTAAAATATATATATATATATAATATATATATATATATATATATATATATATATATATATATATTATATATATATAATATATAAACATATATTACAAATATCAATATATTGCACTCTGCCATTCAAGAAGGATATCACTATCATGAGTAATGACACATCTTAGATAAAGCCATACATCAATAATTCAACTTATCATTAATACTGATAAAGAGTAATGGATTCCTATAATCATGCCAAGTGATGGAACATTTTATTCTTGGCCATAATCTAGATATTAGTTTCAATTATATATAGAAAAACACAACTATTTATGACTTAATATCTCTGTCTATTAAACAAAGAATGTTATTAATTCTAATGCATTAAGAAGGGAAAATTATTGCAAAGCACAAGTCCTACCAGCTCATTCAAAGTAAGCCCCTCTATAGCCTTGTATTAAAACAGTGGCACCA